CCACTCCCACACCCGCCCTGGCTTTTAGGCCTAGGGGGAGCGTTTAGATCCAGTCGGGGGGTTCAGAAAGCCAAAGAACCGCAGAGCAAGATCCGTGCTTGTATCCCTGGAGCAGCCGGGCCCCAGGCTAGACCCTGCTGGGCTCAGTAGGGCAGGAACAGCCCAAGGCAGTCCCCGTGCCCTTGAGTTTACATTTGCAATTGATCAGGCCTCCCTAGAGACCGGGGAGAGGGAGGGGCAAATCAGCCCCAAGTTGCAGCTGGGAACTTTACCCAGGGCCAGGTGAAAGCCAGTGGCAGCACCAGGACTAGGTTTCCCCCCTGTTGCGCTGCAGCCTGCACCGGAGCTGCCTGCAGCCTTGAGGGAAACTTGGCTTAGGAGCTGCTTTCGGAAGCTAGTAGAAAATAGGAACGTACAACCCCCGGTTAAAAGGTTAACCAGTGAACTGCATGTTTGATCAGATAACCAGCCCACCCCATTGCACCAGAGGCAAGGGGGCCAGTGGAGCAGCCTCCTGGCTGTAGTGTAGTGGGCTCACACTGTATATGGGGGGCAGGGAGAGAGGAAGTAGGGCTGCTCCAGCCAGGCTGGCCATGGATTAATCAGTTACCCTGCTAAGCATTGCATTAGTAGCATGCTTACCAGATAACTAGTTACCCTTTACATCCATAGTAGAAAGGACCCAGAGCAGAGCTAATATTTCCTCCCTTAGAATTAGGCATCTGCAACACCTCAGTTCTCTTTTGGGCTCTGGAACTAGACCCACAGGCTGTCTAGACTGGCAAGTTTTTCCACAAAAGCAGCTGCTTTTGCAGAAAAGCTTGCCAGTTGTCTACACTGGCCGCTTGAATTTCCGCAAGAACACTGACGATCCCATGTAAGAAATCAGTGCTTCTTGCAGAAATACTATGCTGCTCCCATTTGGGTAAAAGTCCTTTTGCACAAAAGGGCCAGTGTCGACAGCTCAGATTTGTTTTGCGCAAAAAAGCCCCCATCGCAAAAATGCTGTTTTCAGCTGGGCTGTCCTCTCCCACTAGGTGGGTTAAAATCTTTAGGGGAAAGATGGCCAGGAAGTGGGTGACTCATGTTCTTTTCTGCCAGATCCTAGGCCAGGAGTGAGGCGCATTGGCAGAGCTAAACACAGAACCTTCCCTCAGCATTTCATCCTAGACTAGATTGCCACACAGATGATCAAACCTCCATTCCCTGTGAGGACAGCTCATTGACTCGTGCTTTAACCTGAAACACCAGCCCTCAGACAGGCAGTGGTGCGCCTAAGGAGGAGCTTGTGGGGAACTGGTGCTCTCTAGCATGCAAGGATGGCACCATCGCTGACCTCATTCTGCTGTGTAGCTTATGATTCTACAGTTGCGCAGTTAGTCTTGATAACTCACTCAGGCCTCCCTCTTACCCGACTGGGGTTACTGTGGTAGCATCAAAGGCAGTTAACGTCCTGCTCAGGTCCCCCTCTTACCTGACAGAGGGGTTACTGTGGTAGCATCAAAGGCAGTTAACGTCCCAACACTGCTCATATAGCATCGTAGTGGCAGCTTCAGCCTCATTGCTACTGGGCATTTATTCCAACAGCATGGGACTGAGATCTCCATGTGCTCCCTGGTTCACTCCCCTCCAGCCACCAGAATATAATCTAGAGCAACCCGGATGACCACTTTAAGATGGAGTAACCAAGACAGAGGCTGTTCACTTTTTATTTACATGGACTTGAATTCTATTCTTACGTACAGAAATGTTTGCTAGGCAGGCACCACCTTGTGAATTCCTTAATTCATCTGCCATGTGTGTTCAGAGCAGCAGTATTTCTTTGGTACTGAAGGAAGCCAAGAATGGATCAGGCAAGCTTAAGGATGGCAGAGCCATGCGTGAATCAAGCCCAGCTTTGAAACAGAGAATGTTTTATGGAACACAGGCATGATTTTTTGCCCATTGTTTTAAACAGCATTCGAGTATGTGAAAGCAACTGTAGGTGAAAGGACAGAGAACACACCCGACTGAGCACTGGAAGCAGCTTTATTCAACACACTCCTGCCTCAGGCAGGAGCCAGCTACATTGTAGCAGACTACCAGACTGGACTTCAACAGCCACACAGGCAGGAGACAGGCAGCTCCCTCTACTTGACCTTCTTCTTGGGACGCAGATTGTTGGTGTGGCCACACTTCTTCTTACGGCAGTTGACAGCACGAGGGTGCAGGCGGGCGTAGCACCTGAAAGAGGTAGAGAAACAGCTGTCAACTCATCTGGTGGCTGGGAACTCCCAGGAAGCTCTGCCTCACATGGCAAGGCACCACCCAACCTCCCTATCATTGCTACTAGCATATGTACTAGAGGTAACCAGATGCATATTCTTCCCCATGCGTAAGAGAATGAGGATATTTTGAGTCATATAGGAAGGACCAATGTACATTTATTCAGGGATTTTTATGACTAGCTGCCAGTTCAGTAGAGAATGCAACACCCACCAATCCTTGATAGGAATAATGGCATCTCCTTTGTCTCATGCAGAGTGGGCAAAGGGACCCATCACAGGTCCCTGGCAACTCCAGGGACTCTGAAGAAGATCTATCCAGAACAGGAACCTCTCTAGGAGGTTGAGAGATTGATACAGCATTAGCTGCAAGTAAAAGGTGTTTGAGCTGCAAGGATGCTGCTGCAGTTGCTCCTCCCTCAGGCTCTTTAGGGCAAGGCAGAGCAATCTATGCTATGACAGACTATTACCACTTCTCTCCAAGCACACCCATCACCAGGGCTAGGGCGAGTAGATTACATAGTTTGTCGAGCCCTGCCCATCACCTAAGGATTCCCCCTAGCTAGAGATTGATACAGCATTAGCTGCAAGTAAAAGGTGTTTGAGCTGCAAGGATGCTGCTGCAGTTGCTCCTCCCTCAGGCTCTTTAGGGCAAGGCAGAGCAATCTATGCTATGACAGACTATTACCACTTGTCTCCAAGCACACCCATCACCAGGGCTAGGGCGAGTAGATTACATAGTTTGTCGAGCCCTGCCCATCACCTAAGGATTCCCCCTAGCTATCAGCACAAGAGTAGGTGAGGATGCTGCTTGGAGAGGACAGGAGCGACAGAGGCTCCAGCGCGGCGTCTATAGCATAAGACAACACGTACTTGCGGCAGATCATCTTGTCGCAGTTGTACTTCTGTGCGAGCTGGCGTAGGGAAGGCTCGATGATACCTCCACGCAAGCGTAGCACCAAGTGCAGAGTGGATTCTGGAAGGAGGAACATACCAAGTTAGCAGCATTTCAGAACAAGCACTGAGGCAGGACCACTCACTGTTTGGAGGGACAGGGCAACAGGACTCGTCTCAGGTGCTACTGCCTTAGAAAAAAGTGACTCTTCAGTCCTGGTGGTTTCCGTTTACACCCCAAATTAACTCACTGCACAGCCAGATTGCCACAGCTCTCCCAACTCCCCGCCCCATCCCTGATTTCCCAAGGCAAATCAGACAAACACGCCAGTTCTTGAGACACCTGGGCCTCTCATTCATCTTGTGATGCTGTATAGATTTCCCAGACTAAACCCCACAAACCACGGTCATCTGTAGATAGTTGGGGAGAACACAGCCAATTTTTTTCAAAGCTATCACTGCCCCCCCCGCCCCCCCCATTCCTAGTCTGAATTTGTCTAGCCTCAGCTTCCAGTCTTGGATCCTGGTATGCTTTTGTCTAAAGCCCATTGCTACCAAATTCTGTCCATGTGCAGATACTTCTACCCAGAGACAATCTAATCTTTGTGGAGTTAAATAGCTTGCTTAAGTCTAAGGCAGGTTTTCCAAGACAGTGGCTTGTTTCTGTAGTTCTTTTCTGTATCATTTGCAGTCTGAGTTCACACCACAGCTGGACACAGTACCCTAATAAGCGTATTTGTAATGAGAATGCGAGCGGTGAATTGGTAAGCATCACCTTTACCACGTGATGCTTACCAGTCACTGTCAACCAGAAGCCCAGAAGAGTCCCCATAACCACCCCCATTTAAGTGTTTAACCAGTTAAATGCAACATGTTAACCACAGGACTATTAACACCTAACAATGATCACACCATTCCTCACTACTTTGAGGTTATTATCCCCTGCTCACACAGGGAATCCATTTGCTCTTAGCTCCCTCATTGTACCACAAACTCATGTCCTACACGTTATCTATCATGACCATGAAGTCCAATTCAATAATCCCCAGTGCTCACAGACACCAAGTTCTGCAGGCAGAAAGAGCTTGAGTTTCCTCTAGTGGTTCTTCAACAGTTTGGCAACCATGCATTAGCCTTTTTTTAACAGCAGTAACACTGTCAGACAATACCTTTCTGGATGTTGTAGTCTGAGAGGGTACGCCCATCCTCCAGCTGCTTTCCAGCAAAGATCAGACGTTGTTGGTCAGGAGGGATACCTACAAGACATCCATAAGCAGAACACTGAACTGCCTTTAACTTTACATTGAGATTATCTGAAGAGCAAATCATGACCTACTGTGTTACTGGGAGACAGCAGACCTGATGGAAGTGACCTACGGTCAAAACCTCATTATCCTGTGATACCAGCACTATCGGGTTAGTACCAACCCCAGAAAACAGCCTTGGCTCCAGACTTTCTGGGCCGAACCATAGTGGCAGCAACCAAAGGACGAGATTGTCTCCTATCTCCCATCTCTTTGAACCTAGGTACAGCAGTTACTGATTTCCTTATGGTGAAAGCCTACAGAACCAACTGCCTAAAATGATTTGATCCTTTTGACATATTGGGTTGGGAAGCAGCACTGAAAATTCACTGGAGGGCGGGGTGAGGGGGTGTTTATTGTACTGGAAGGGCCTTCTATGAGATCAAATAGAATCATGCTGACTACAACTGGTTATTACAGAGACACCTGGGGAATGTTAAGCGTCCAGGAGAAGTGTGATACAAATACTGGATTTCAGTTTCCCTTTCCAAACTCCATCTACTCTTTCAGCTGAGGGTAGGTTTTTTTTCTTTACTTCCTGACCAAGAACTGTGCAGCTAAAGCTGTTTTTTTGGGGGGAGGGGGGGGAGGGGGGGTTGTAAAACTTTTTCTCCCCCAAAAATGCAGGTGCAGGTCATTTGAATTAACAAAATTGGGTCATCTTGGCAAACTGCAGGTTGAAAAAAATTCAAGTGCTGAAATGCCACTTCCCAAATGAAAAGATAAAACATTTGGGTTTTTTTCGGAATTTCCTCAACATTAAAAAAATGTTTTGGTTGACACAAGCAGACTTTTTCCTCAACATTTTGGCTCACCAAGAGTTTCAAAACATGTTTTGGGTCAAAAACAATTTTGAATTTGCATTCGATCTAAATACACAAGATGGTGAGGCAATATCTTTTATTGGACCAAGAGAAATTGCCTCACCCACCTTAATTTCCTATTGTCCTGGGACAGACACGGTACAGACTACATTCCAAACCACGTAAGGCAGTTATGGACACAGAGAAGGTATTTCAGGGACCATTGTTTTAGCTGAAAAAATGTCATAGCCACAATTTTGTCACAGACACTGAAACTTACAACACTCAACACAACATTTTCACAATGCCACTCATAGAAATGAGATCCAGTTGCTCCCTCAATTGTGACTTGATGCATGCATAGGTGCATAAGGGCACAAAGACAAAATGATCACAACAGGAGTCCCTACACTGCCAGCCTCTGAGCAGAAGCCAGCTCCCACATGTTAAGAGAAACAGGAGATAGTCAGACCCCATTGGAGGATAAAGCTGCCTAGAAGAGTTTAAACTTGGAAAACAAGAAATAGTCTAGTAGCACCTTAAAGACTAACAAAACATGTAGAGGGTCTCATGAGCTTTTGTGGGCAAAACCCACTTCTTCCGATGACAGGAGAAGACGACGTTTAAAAGCCTCCCAACACCAGGCTACTTGAACCGACAGCCCCCAACTTTAACAACTGAGGGTTAAACTGGCACTAGCTTCCTTCACCCCCCTCACCTTCCTTGTCCTGAATCTTGGCCTTGACGTTCTCGATGGTGTCGCTGGGCTCCACCTCGAGGGTGATGGTTTTGCCCGTCAGGGTTTTCACGAAGATCTGCATCTTGGCAAGTGAGCGTCCCCCAGGCTACTTGAACCGACAGCCCCCAACTTTAACAACTGAGGGTTAAACTGGCACTAGCTTCCTTCACCCCCCTCACCTTCCTTGTCCTGAATCTTGGCCTTGACGTTCTCGATGGTGTCGCTGGGCTCCACCTCGAGGGTGATGGTTTTGCCCGTCAGGGTTTTCACGAAGATCTGCATCTTGGCAAGTGAGCGTCCCCTG